CATAACCACAAGTTGCTCTGGACCTATTAATTAAATGAAATACACATACACCAGGAATACTGGTAAATATATAAATTTGTGGACTGTATATTAAAAATAATAAATGGTTATATATATACACAATTACATAACAGAAGGAAAATATATCTTAATATCACTCACCAATTTGACTGGAGATTAATGTGTATCGTACTCAGAAAACCTCACTCTAACTAAATCTATGAAAATAATGATGGCCAGAATTACACACAAATCTAGAGAGCTTATGTAAGGTTCCTGGAGCTGTCTTGTCCAGTCGTCTGATATCTCAAGTTATGCAGGAATGCACATCCACCAATTTCGCCTCCTATTTGAGAGGTGTCAACACAATTTTAACCTCTAGAGCACGAAAAATTCTTCCCATTATACCAACGTTTGTACAAAATTCAAAACCAAGATGGCGAGTCCCCTCTGCGCAGACGCAGGCTTTCCGTTTTCTATGACAAATATTATTAAATACAGTATGGCCATCTATTTACATATAAATACTGAATTTCTGGAAAATATATACAGTATTTTCCACAGTACTCAAGATAATTTAATTTAACATTATTCGTGTTAAATCTTACTATTTATTAATTTTATTGTTACTGCAATTAATATTGCCGCTGTTTTTATCATTTTAAGGTATTATCATCGTGCTTGTAATAACATTTTCAACACCACTTGTTAGTTTTTTGGGTTTAAAGCCTATGAACGTACACGAGGGTCATTAAAGCTACATGTCATCTATACACCGCCAGTCAAAAATATTTTGATCACTTAAATAGGCATCATAGTAAACTCGTAGCGTATATGCACCTGGAGTTGCTCACCTTTTGGTGAATATACCTTTGTATGACAATTATTATTATTATTATTATTATTATTATTATTATTATTATTATTGTTGTTGTTGTTGTTGTTGCTATTATTATTATTATTATTATACCCCTCAGCGTCTTCTTTCTTCACATAATGACTATTTCTGACAGAGAAGTTAATCAACCATATAAAAAGTTACCAAGCACTTGGTGACCAACATTCATTTATTTTAATAAATATTGACATGTATTAAATAAATATAATTTAGATTTTTGTCATACTTTTTTCTATCATTTACTTTCATAAAAGACATATAACTTGTTCAATTAACAATAGAGATTTCGAAGATTGATCTCATCACCGAGGTGTATTGATTTTGTCTTCGACAGTGAACTGTACATCAGTGACCAAACGTTTGAGTCACAACCAAAAGGAACTTAGATTCTCTTGCGATGCGTAACGTATGATCAAGTCTTACATCTAGTGCACTGTTTACCTAACAACAATAATAGGTATTTAGTGTTAGACGTATGGGCAGATCTCCTTACACCTTTTTCCTCTATTCACCTGAAGTAAATAGATACCTGGGGTATTAGATATATGGGCAAGTCTCTTTACACTTTCTACCTCTGTTCACCTAGCAGTCAACTGGAGTGGATCGCTTCCTGAGGAGTGTTATGCTCTAGGTAGGTTCAGGTTTGTAGTGAGTTTTGGAAGAATAAGTTCATAACAGGCAAATTCAAATGAGTAAAAAATATTTTCCTACTATAGAAATGCTGATGTCAGGATTGTGGAATCTTGATAATAGTGAGCAAGTTGTATATACTTCTACGTGCTTCAAAAATGATGTAACGTAATAATGTCCGCTTATGGTGAAAATTATTGTGAACTTTTGCATAAATATTAACACTGGACATGACTGCTAATTCTGCACATATTCCCAAAAAATACGTAAGATATAAAATTATATTTTATAGGGAAAGTTATGGGTTAACTGAGGCTTTTAAAAAAGGGCAAGGGACATTGCTAGTGTGTGTGTGTGTGTGTGTGTGTGTGTGTGTGTGTGTGTGTGTGTGTGTGTGTGTGTGTACTCACCTATTTGTACTCACCTATTTGTGGTTACAGGGGTCGAGTCTTAGCTCCTGGCCCCGCCTCTTCACCGGTTGCTACTGTGTGTGTGTGTGTGTGTGTGTGTGTGTGTGTGTGTGTGTGTGTGTGTGTGTGTGTGTGTGTGTGTGCGTGTGTATGTGTGTGTATGTGTACTCACCTAATTGTACTCACCTAACTGTGGTTGCAGGGGTCGAGACTCAGCTCCTGGCCCCGCACGCACACACACCCTGGCACACACACACTGTGTGTGTGTGTGTGTGTGTGTGTGTGTGTGTGTGTGTGTCTATAAATTATTTAGTATTAAAAAATCAAAACAGTTAAGTAATAAATTTATAAATAAAAAACACATTTACAATATTTTTGCCAAGTAAGGCCAATTAAAAAGATGGCAGTCGTACCTTTCGTGGATAATTTACGTCGCTGTTGTTCTGTCTGAACAATTGGTGTTCATGCGAAGGAAACCGCTGAAAATGGAAGACTAGTAAGTGGTCGACCAGTCTGTGAGAGGTGACGGACCAGGACCACTGAACACCTGTACCTGACCACCACCAGTTGCTGAACACCAACAATACCATCACTCAACACCTGCACAAGGCCACCACTAACACGACCACCTTACTAGCACTCAACACCTGCAATGACAACCACCACTACTAACACTCAGCAACTGCATTAACCACCACCACTAGCACTCTACACACTGACAACCTCCACTACCACTCAACACATGCACCTGACTACCATCAGCACCAACACTTACTGTGGTAACCAACATTTGTGTTATATCCCGGTTTTTGCAGAATATTGCATTTCAAAAAAAAAAATTATACTTTAAAAAAATGTGTTACAAATGCATCTTGTTACGAGCATCCTCGTGGGAATGTTAACAGAGAAATATGCAAGTTTCAAGAAATATCTGAAGGTCAACATGTTAGAAACAGCGAAAGTCCGTCGAGGCTGTGGGAGGGAGGGGAAGTCAGAGGCTGGGGGTATGGGGGGTAATGACACATTGGTCCCGTGTGTGTGCCAGGTGGGATTACTGAAGTGAGAGGAGAAGAAGAAGAAGGAAAGGGGACGAACTATCAACGAAGGACACATGCAATCCCTTTTTTTTTTTGAGGTCAGTAGAATCAGTATATAAAGGGGGAGCGGGATCAAGCAGACATCACACTCCACCATGAAGCTCCTGGTGAGTTGTTTCTCCCTCCCTCCTTTCCCAGTGTGGCAGTGATAACCTAGAGATTATAATTATTACATTTGGAAACAAGTGCTGAACCCCCTATGGGTCATACAGCATAAACCTCCAGAGACCCGGACAGTAACCCTGTGATGTAGTGATAAAGTCCGGGAGACAGTGATGCAGTGTTCATGCCTTGGCCACAGTGGCCGGGGAAATAAGTGTTGTGTTCTTACAAAGTTTTAACCAGAAACAATTTGAAACTTGGTGCTGCAGGTACCAGCAGTATTTTAAGCCACTGTTAAAGTACTTTATCATCACTAATCTCGGCGCACAGGAGACAGTCTCTGCTCCGTAGTTGAGTTCAGTGATGTAGGATACATTACTCTGTGATAATACAATTGGATATTTCTACTTCTTGGTAGAGTTCGGTTTTGAAGAAGACAGTTCCTTGCTTCACAGTGTTCGAAGTAGAGTCCGATAAGACATTGTCACACACATCACTGATTGTATAGTGAAAAGAAAAAAAAATCCTTTTCGTTTGTTTTAACTAAAGCAATAATGAGTGAAACGTGTGAAACGCGAGGTATAGGATCTAGGTAGTGCCGGCGAAAACGACGATGCATGCGAGAACTCAAAACCACTAACGCCACTTGTGACCTGGAGATGATGACCCGTCGTGAGGCGTTTGTGTTTGGACGGCAACACTTGAAAGACAGAAACTGTGACTGACGGGAACAGCGTCTCTTCCTCAGTGATTGACAGGAACACTATGATTCCCTGAAAACTGAAAGGATGTGACTGACAATGACAGTGTACCTCTCTGAGTGAATGTGGTTGCACAGAATTGTTTTCAGTCGTTTCGGCTAATGCATTTAATTTTATTAATGCTAACTTTATATTTTTTTATTATTTATTTGCTTTATGCTTTCATTATATGCAATATATTGATGCCTTACTTCATGAATTCACATTATCTCATACGTTTTCATTATCCCACAGATATTATTGTGCATAGTGGCAGCGGCCGCGGCAGGCTCATTGCAGAGCTACAGTCTTCCAACGCCCTCTGGCCCCGGCTTCTCCGTCGGTGGCTCGTCTGCTGGCTTTGGATCTTTTGGAGGCGGTACGGTATCCTTCGGAGGCAGTGCAGGATCATTTGGAGGTGCTACTGGATCTTTTGGGGGTACTGGAGGGGCTACTGGATCCTTTGGTGGTTCATTCTCTGGTCTCTCTCATTCTGTGGTCAGTTGTGGACACGGACAGGTCCGGCATGTGGATGGCAGCTGTGTAACTCCTCAGGTCACCCGTAACTTGTTCTTGTACAAAGTTCCTGCAGCAACACCGATCGTAGCTCCAAGACCAAACGTTCCTCCACCAAGAGTTGAAGACAATATTTTACTCATCCAGTTCCCAGAGGAGCTCCTGGGCCAAGAACCCATCGTGGTGCCACCACCACAACAGAGGAATGTTGTGTACGTGCTCAACAAGAGGCCTCATCATGATCACAAGCTCATTCACGCACCAGGACCTGAGCAGCCAGCTCCCGAAGTGTACTTTGTCAACTATGCTGAAGGAGAGAACCCGACTCTACCAAGCGGTGGCGATCTCCAGTCTGCCCTTAAAACTGCCTCTGAAGGTGGCGGTGAACTCATTGGTAGCAGCGGTGATGGTCTTGGCGTCAGCATTAGTGGGGCAGGAATTCCTGCTCCATCTCCTGTATATGGAACACCCTGAAAGAGGGGCACCTCTCATCTTCGCCGCTACTGTCAGATCTACTGACCACTTCACTATGGCGAGAGCGGTTCTTACATTTCGCTTGGGTTACATGTTAGGGTAGCAATATTATATGTATATATTTATTCTTTGCTGGAAAGCAATTTACCTAAATTATTTTCCTTTTGTGATAACCCAAACCAATTTAGTGGAAACTTTCTCAAAATAAATTGTGAAATTTTATTCTATTTATATTCTCCTCTCAAAAACAAAGGACTTAATAACGAAGAGCAATAATAATAATAAAATAGTAATAATAATTATTAATATCATTATTATTATTGTAAAAGGACACAAGTGCAACTAATGTGGCATTTTATTGTGGCAACGTTTCGCTCTCCAGGAGCTTTGTCAAGCATGTCAAGCTTGACAAATTTCCTGGAGAGCGAAACGTTGCCACAATAAAATGTCACGTTAGTTGCACTTGTGTCCCTTTGCTTTACATATTGTCGGTAATTCTACCATCATTATTACATTATTATTATTACTATTATCATTATTATTTTATTATTATTATTATTATTATTATTATTATTATTATTATTATTATTATTATTATTATTACCGAAGAATTAACCTCGAGTTTGTTAGAAATGCTAATAAATTTCCACCAGGAAATTAACTTAGTGGTAAAATAGTTAAGTTAATGACGCCAAATATATTTGACTCTTGGACTTCGTCTACATGTGACGTGTTGGCTCCTAATTACTACAAGTGTTTACATGTATACTTATACTGAGAGATTAAACTCGTGCGGTTCATTCCACACAAATATTAAATGATCAAGACGAGACGCGCTACTCAAGCAGTCAGGTGTCTCTTGAAATGGGACGCCTGAAATGCAATTTCCGCTGAACACCATGGAAGAAAAAGGCGTCAGTATGATTACATATGTGGAAAACAGGACAAAAATACACAGTAGAAAGAATTTAGACGGGCCGTCGAAAGATTAAGACCCGTGCCAAGACACTGTCTTGGCGTACATTATGAGGGAGAATTTAGAGGAGCACCTTGACCAACAAGGAATAACTTGAGATAATTTGTGACTTTTACAAAAAAAAAAAAAGGTACACTGTAAGTGTGACTTTGTCACATTCTCAATGAGCACATTAACACAGGGAACATCAACAAACAATGTTTAAGATCTAAGCTGCTATTTACATGTATACGTTTAGTGGAAACTATTTTCTTATTAGGCAGCTTAAAAATAGTTAAACAGTGGTTGAGAAAATTGGCATATTGGCGCGGTGTGTGTGTGTGTGTGTGTGTGTGTGTGTGTGTGTGTGTGTGTGTGTGTGTGTGTGTGTGTGTGTGTGTGTGTTTGTGTCCGTGTGTGTGTGTGTGTGTGTGTGTGTGTGTGTGTGTGTGTGTGTGTGTGTGTGTGTGTGTGCGTGTGTGTGTGTGTTGTGTGCGTGTGCGTGTGCGTGTGCGTGTGTGTGTGTGTGTTTGTGTCCGTGTGTGTGTGTGTGTGTGTGTGTGTGTGTGTGTGTGTGTGTGTGTGTGTGTGTGTGTGTGTGTGTGTGTGTGTGTGTGTGTGCGCGCGTGTGTGTGCGTGTGCGTGTGTGTGTGTGTGTGTGTGTGTGTTTGTGTCCGTGAGTGTGTGTGTGTGTGTGTGTGTGTGTGTGTGTGTGTGTGTGTGTGTGTGTGTGTGTGTGTGTGTGTGTGTGTGTGTTGTGTGTGTGTGTGTTGTGTGTGCGCGTGTGTGTGTGTGTGTGTGTGTGTGGGTGGAGGGTAATGCAGCCAGACTTTTCACGCGGCTATCACAGTGACCACACGTCTTGGAGACTTGTTACGAAATATTCCCGTTTACCGACTGTCACTAAAGTGGATCACAGATTTATCATAAATTAAAACACTTGTGAGAGCAGTCAACTGTGTAACACTGAGGACATCAGTACCAGGACCTCCGAGAGAGCATGAAGGACACGGAATGTTGCTGTAACTAACAAGAATGTCGTGACCTCCCGCAGCTGGCAACTTCAACTTAGCTAGTGTTCTCTATACCTCCTTCGCATGGATAAGTATTTTGCCTTGATAATATACCTTGGCTAAGTGCAAATCTCTGAACTACTCCATATAAAAATTAAAACAGTGCTCACCACATGACACATTAAAAATTGTGGCATATTATTTGTTTCTTAGTGTATGAGAAACGAGTGCTTCATCGTCCGAAAATTAGACTTAGCTAGTAGGCACTAATCTTTGTTTGCAGATTAACTGTCTTATGATTTAGCCACTTCAAATGTCCCGTAAACTCTCGTTATTATGCTTTACCTGGGAACTTTGCCACATAAAATACTGTGAGGTATTCCTGGTGGATCAAGAGGATCTGATTATCATAACTAGTAAGGCGTTTTAATAATGAAGTTTTAAATAGGGGCAATTGTTATTCTGTTAAATACTTATTATAAATACAGCCGCACAACCCAAATGTAATGAACACAAAAGTATTTATTATTCTGTTTATTTTCTACATTTTGCCCACTCTTACCAGAGGTCTCATATTCTCATAAAAACATTTTTTGTATAGGCAGAGGAATTACTTATGTATGTGAAAATATTTATGGAAAAGGTAAATAATCTCATCTTTTTTATTACTCATGCGGATTTTAGTCGTGCAATAAGTGTCAAAAATTTCGTGCCTCGATGTATTTTATGGGTTACTAATAGAAGTTGTTAGGAGTGGCTGTCACACTAATAACACTGCTGACTGAGGACTGCCATTAATGTGATATCTTTCATGTGTCACAGGAAATGCGAAGTGATGCTATCCATGTGTCACTAGTATTGTGTGAAATGTAATATGATGTGATGTCATCCATATGTCACAAGTAATGTGTCATACGTGATATCCATGTGTCTCAAGTATTGTGTCACATGTGATATCCATGTGTCTCAAGTAATGTGATATCATCCATGTACCACAAGCAGGTACTGACTACTTTGATGTTTGGCAGGATTCTCATTCGCACGAAGTGATAAACCTCTCTTGCATATATAAATTAGGTATAAACACATGCCTAGCCTAACCTAGATTGAGAATTAAATTCTATGTTTTGGCGGGTTTGGTTCTCCAACTTTTTCTTTGTTACCAAAAAACTTTTTCTTCATAGGCCCAAAACACAACAGTATCCATTTTCCAAATTTACATCCATAAAAGATAAAAAAAAATAATCTGTACATTTATCTAAAATAATTCGCACAATATATATATATATATATATATATATATATATATATATATATATATAATATATATATATATATATATATATATATATATATATATATATATATATATATATATATATATATATATATATCCCTTGAAGGAAAGGATGCCTTGATTGAAGAATTGGATCTCTACTCCCTTTAGATCGAGAAGCCAGTGCTTACCATTCTCCAGGTGCTGAATTATCCGTACGGGTTTAGCGCTCTTCTGTGCATATACTACTACTTCCATTAACAGCACTACTACTACTATTTCTAATACTGTACTACTACTACTCCTTTTTATACTTTCATTTCTGCTACTTTTCCACTTTTATTTCTATTACTACTACCACTATTGCCTCACTTACTACTTCTATTACTACCTACTACTAAATAATAATAATAGTATAATAATAATAATAATATAATAATAATAATAATAATAATAATAATAATAATAATAATAATAATAATAATGAAGAAGAAAAAGAAAATAGAATGATAGTCTAGGCTTCGTGTAGGCGTCACCAACGAAGTTAAGCATTTCTGTGCTAGTTTATGTAAACATTCTGTGTCTGAGGCAGAAACTTCTTGCTCTGACGAAGACAGAAACTACTTGTTCCAAACTAATAAAATGCAAGTTTTTTTTTATGCACTTCAGAAAGTTACAGGAAAAATTTCCTGGACACAGTTGAGATTTTTTAATAAAAGATTTATATAACTTATTGAAGAGGTCAAATCCTGGGATTTGAATTTGTTTACAAGGAAAAGTTTTCACCATCTAATTTTATAACCAAGAAACACTATTGAACTGCTTGGTGAGCAACGAGTTGGTTTTTATTGAAGTTTCTGAAGTCTTTTATGAGAACGAACACTTAAGGTTCTTAAGATACCTGTTAAATCGTAGGATCTGCCGAAGACTTGCTTGATATCCATTTATCTAACGTGTGTTTATTCGCACTGATATCTAGAAAATTTTATTTAGTTAGGAGCGTTGGTTTGGATTATTGATTTAACAATGATTGCTTCCTAGTACTAAATCTTATTATACACGACAAGCATGTTAATAAGGCACAATATGCGGTTTTTTTTTTTTCATTTTATAAAGACGTTTCACCGACTAGGGACATTATTAATTTTCCATTAAGTCCCTGGTGGATGAAGCGTCTTCTCAGTGAAATGCCATAAACCGTACATTGTGTTTTATTAATTCCGAGTACCAAAGCCACTCGCATCCATCAACGGCCCTATCAATTAAGCCGTCAGCATCAACAACCCAGCAGTGGCGTCGTGGCTACATCGGAAATTCCTGTTTCTCAGCTCAGAAGCACTCCAGCGAGTGCTGCATGTTACCCTGTGGAAAACAGTCTTAATTTTAGCTATCGTAGCCAGCGCCGGTGATTTAGCTAGGGTTGCTAGCTACTGATTTATCTAGGGTTATTAATTTTCATTGACTTAGATAGGGTTGTTAGTGTGGGCAATTAATTTAGCATACATAATTAGTTACGACATATTACCTCGATTTTTTTTTATTTATAACCAATACAGTATACATAAATATAAAAATAAAAGGAAACAGTATGGATCTCAATCCTGAAGGTTCGACCATTGACATAAGAAAACCAAACACATAATAAACTAACACAAATGGATTGCACCTATACTTGCAATAACTTACGGCAATAACTTACGGCAATAACATAGCTACAAATAAACACCGTAACTGGGTCATGAACTGACATAAAAACATTCAATGACTCAAAACCTAACTTCCATATAAATTTTACATTTAACATGACATATGACAAAGACTCATACAATTGAAAATAATATATACAAGAAAATGTAACAGTTACTTCCAGCCTTCTCATTAATCAATAAACCAAAACCTAACATCATAATCCTACTAGAACATCTATATACTTATCCCTAACATT